GAGCGGTTAAGGCGGTTGAGGCATCGTTGTGCCTGAGCAACATTGACCGTTTCCAGTGTTGTCAACTGCATGACTACTTCCTGAGCTTCAACAGCACTGATTGTTCCATCTGACTTTGCGTATGAAGGGGCCGTGCTTCAAGCAGATGCTGGAAAGTTTCAAAGACGGCCCATGGAACGGAGAAGGAGGATGCGTGCGGGCGCCTGCGTTGTCGCTTCCACAAGTGTGGAAGGGCACCAAGGATAACCTCAACTTGTTGACGGTCCTGTCTTGTTTCGGCTTACCTCCTTGAACCCCCCCCCTCTGTGTGTGTGTGTGTGTGGGTGGATGGGCACTTGGTGCGTCGACAGTGACAAAACAAAACATTACGAGGAATCCCTCTATTTGTAGTTACGATAAAGAAGGAATTTATGTTTTATGTTTTCTTTTCATGTTTTCCTTTTCACAGTTCCATGTTTGCTTTTACTTACACTCTGGAATGCAGAAGATTGTTGCAAAACATGAGCAGCATTGTGCTCAAGGAGCACAAAATTTTGTTTCAGGCCGGGGCGGGCCGCCGCATGGAATACGAAGACCGCTGGCTTCAGATTCTTGGGCATAGCAGGTGAGTGGACCACGAGCTTCGTGGCTCTGTGATAAACTGCCTGGGATCCATGTCCGAGTCTGCTCGAGCAACTGCAGCGCGAACCCACGTCTCCTCAGAAAGCGACAGCGACGCTAATCGACTCGCTGACCTGTGTCCTGCCGGAGGTGACGTGCTCGAGGCCGTGGACTCGGGTGATGCGCTCAGAGCCGAAGCTCTGGGACATGCTGATGTCTATGGGGTGGCGATGCTGGGTGGAGCTTTTACCAATTCTGGTGTGACTGCTGACGGTTCATCAAGTGATAGCGAGGCGGAGGTTGCTGTGGAGTCGCCTTCCTTTGAGATCTTGCAAGCTGAAGCTTTTGGCAAAGGCCTACGTGATCAGACTGCGCGCTCCCATCGCGCGTGGTCCTGTGATCTTTCAGGTGAAGCTTCCATTGTTATGGATGGTGTGCCGACTGCGAACATTGGTTGGAAGGGCCAAGACACCCTCTCACAGCTGCTCAATGAATCCGCCAGGACCTGTTTGCACAAAGAGAATTATCAGAGATGGATCGTCGATGGTGTTACGCTCCACTTTCGGCAAGCCGGGCTTCGGCCGACTTATGAGTGCAGCTTGGAGCGCTCTACATGGTTCCAGATGGAGACAAACTTCCGCGTGGTGTGCCGTGGCTAGTTCACTCGAAGGTTTGCCAGAAAGCGCCGTGCTTCCATTGCCCGTACACGATGAGCTGGCATGTTGGGGGTACCAGACTCCTGGACGGCTTGACCTTGGGCTGCTGGCTTCGGCTGATGTGGCGGCTATCTTTTGTGGCCGATCGTCTTCCTGGAATGGTGATGGTCGACTAAACTTCCAGGCCTCCGCTGCTGTAAAATACTTTCTTCTGCGCGTGTTCATGCAGTTTGACATGTCGGCCTGCGTTCGTTGTCCTGCCTCATGAGTGATTTGCAAGGGCTGTCATGACGAACTGTGCATGTTGTTTGCGCGCCTGCCCAGATGCATCCCAAGCAGATGTTCATGCGGCGGGCACTCGCATGGCAACATAGACTGCTCACGTAGGAGACTTCGGCGTCTAGCAGGTCTGCTTGTCAAATCCAGTGCTCTTTTACAGGAGTTTCGTGCAGTGCTGCACTTTCAAACATCGTACATCACGGACTAGCTGCGAAGGCAGTTTTTGGCATGAGTTGCTGCAGATTTTTGGCATGTAAACGTCATTTTGCATGGTCGCTGCATGGCACTCATGTTTCTGAAGTGAGCTTCGACTCTGCGGCATCACTTTCGGTGTGCTGCTTCAGATCTGCTGAACTTGCCGCGATTGCAGGTTTTGAGGCTCCTTCTGCTAGAAGGGAGAGCTCAGGAGCAGACCACTTGACGGCTAGGGAACAGTGTCGCTCCTCATGGAAACGACCTTGACCCGTCGAGCAGTCTGGATCCATGAAAGCTTCGAGTTGCATCGGCCTCATGTCTCATTCCGCACCGCTGAGTTTGCTCATCGTGCCGCTTTTGACAAATTTTGTGAAAACATCCAGAAATCCCAGGAGCCGTTGGCCGAACAATTGAACCGAGAGGCCTGGGCTCGTCATGACATTTGCGAGGATGATGCTGCTTCTCTGACGCCTTCGGAGTCTGGAGATGCCGGTGAGGAAAGGGCTCCTCAAATCATCTTTGCTAGTCTCTCGGATGAACGCAAGGAGGCTTTGGCTGCCGGGTGCAGCCTGACGGCACCGACGCGAATCATGCATCGCGCTCCTTCTGGGCGCAAGCGCCCGGCGAGCTCCTCCAATTCGGACCGAGGCCATGGTCATTGGCTGCGCGGCCTCAGTGGCCGTCTTGATGACGTCGAGGGCTTCTGTGGGTCAATCATCGACAATAATTTCTCTCGCAGCCTTCATGCTCGCCTCCTCCGTGTGGAGCGACTGCTGAGTGTGCCCGAACCTTCTAATCCATTAGGGCATTCTCCGTGAGATGCATGCAGCTAGCAAACCAGCACTGGTGCCGCCTGCCATGAGAAATCTTCAGAACTGCTTGTCTGCAGGAACACTTGTGCTTCTATCAGCGTCGTGCCTGTGCCTGTCAGGTCTTGACGGTTTCTAGCCGTTTGCAGGATCCTAGACCTCCATAGCGTGCCGCGGGCACTCTGCATTCGCGCTCCGCAAGGTGCGCCTGCCTGTGCTCTCCCGCGTGCTGTGCAACTTCAAGTTCTTGCAAATTGCCGAAAAGTGGGGCTTAAGTTCTAGGCATTAGGGTAATGGAGTTGCTGCGTGCCGAGCAGCATCAGAAGAAGAGACCCAAGCATGCTTGGGAGCAGGAGCCTCGGGGCATTGCGACCTTTACATCGGTCTCGATGGGGGCCTCATTCAAGTTGGGCCGTTCTGAGCACATGCTTTGGGAGCTCAGGGCTCAGCAAGGATTGAAGCAGGTTGATGCGATCGAGAATGTGAAACTTCCAGTGCTCCCATACGCAGCTAGGAGGGCGAAGATGATGGATTGGCCTGAGATAGCTGATGATATGAAGAGGAAGTCGTTGCACCTTGTTAGGATCATGGTGGAGTCTGATTTCCACGCCACGAAGCTCGGGACCATGCTTTACGAGCTTAGCGGGAGCCTCGACAAGGAACCTCAGATCCAAAGGACCATCGAGCTCACCTTTGCCAAGAAGGCCGCTGCTACCCTGCATAAAAGGACTCTGGCATTTTGGAAGATGTTCGTGTTCCACGTGGATCGGGGCCACAAGTCGGGGCTGCATATGAGCGAATCCAGCATCTTCTTGTACTTTGAGTCGCTGCAGGGTGGGTCTGCAACTGCTCCTCAAAGTGCCCTTGAATCGATATTCTTCATGCACACCCTCCTGGGCATTAGGGCGCCGATCGAGGACCTGGTGTCGCATCGCATCCGGGGCTTGGTCCACGAGGCTGCCATAACGAAGAGACCCTTAAAACAAGCGAGGGGGCTCACGGCGGAGGAAGTGCGATTTCTTGAGAAGCTTGTGGCGAAAAGTCCAGACACGGCCGTTGTGTGCATTGCAGGGTTCTTCCTCTACGCACTCACCAATAGCGCAAGGTGGGGTGATGCCCAGGCATCCACTTTGCCAACCATCGATGTCTCGGGGTCGCGGCCGGTCCTGAGTTCTGGGACGCTTCGGCACAAGTTGGCCAGCACAGCTGAGAGGAAGACCACCTTGCTTCCTTTTGTGGGGTTTGGTCAACTGGTCACAGGCACTGCCTGGGCACCGAAGTGGCTTGACGCCATGAAGAGGGCACGCCTGCCTAGGACTGGTGTGGACTACATGCTGCCCTCGTGGAATGAATCTTCCAGCCAGTTCATCCGGAGGCGGATGACGAGCGGGGAGGCCACTCTCCACTTGCGTGAGATCCTTAGTCAGATGGAGCATCCGCCGCTGCAACCTTTGCCATCGTCGCATAGCTTGAAGGTGACGCTGCTGGCTTGGATGTGTAAGTCAGGGCTCTTTTCCTTGTCCGAGAGACAGATCATTGGGCATCACCTTGATCGGCCAAGCACCAGCGCACTTACCTACGGGAGGGCTAACTTCGTGGGCCCTTTGGGAAAGGTGGCGGGCATGCTTACAAAGATCCAGGATGGGTCTTTCAGGCCGGATGCTTCTGTGGCTGATCTGATAGCGCAGCAGCTTCATCAGGAAGAGGTGGCATCGGACGAGTTGGAAAGGAAACTGCATGGTGCTCCCTGTGCCTGCGAGGACAGTGCCTCAGATGACATGGGGCATGATGATGCGGATCAGGCGGTGTCTGCAACGGTGCCGGCGGCTGAACGCCGCATGGTGGAGGCTCCTGATCCGGACCAGTATTTGGTCCACCTGTCCTCGGGTACGCTTCATGCATTGGACCCGGATTCTGATAGATTCCGATGTGGGAGGCCGAAAACACCGAATTATGTCAGGCCGAAGGCTTCCACTTCAAGCCCATACCCCTTCTGTCTGGTGTGCCAGCGTGCACAGGACGCAGGGGGTGAGGCAGCGGCTGCGAGCTGAACTCTGTCAGTGTTACTTGTGTCTGGGAGCTAATGCAGGACGGCATCGCAAGTGAAACTTGTAATGCCTCCATGTTGGGCCGTCGAGCCTGGCAAGGTTTTGTCTGCATCCTCCCTAGTGCGTGAGCCCCACACAGCCGACCGAAGTGTGAACAGCAGCGAAGCCCGGGCTTGCCCGAAGATAAGCTGCTTGGGGACCGCGCCGTCGTGCCGACCAAACACCTTCGGGGCTGGGCTTATATCTGGCAGCGAAGCCCGGAAAGACTCTGAAGATGAGCTGCTGGAATTTTTGGGCCGTCGTGCCATGGACGGCCTCTGGGAGTCTCGGAACCCGGGAAAAAGCCGACGTCGTGCCTGCACGGAACTGGCCAGCGGATCAGAAGCTGCTGGTTGCGCTCATGTCCAGGTCCCATGTCCGTGGACTCGCAGGCGGCCTTCAGGGCGGAGGCGATTCGCCTCGGGGTGTCTGAGGCGCATGCCGACTTGCTCATCACGAAGGGCATCCGTACGCACTCGCTGTTCGCCTTCATCTCCAGCTACCAGCCGGGTGCCAGTGACGAGAAGCCGTTCGTGGATGCATTGGTTGCCAAGCTTGGTGAGGAGGCTAAGGATTCGTTACCAGCCTTCCGGCACTTGTTCTACACAAGCCACACGCTAGCGGTCCAGGAGCTCAAGGACAAGCTTGAACCTCGCGAAGAAGCCAAACGCCTCTCCATGGCAGACAGAGTGGATCGCCTAGAGCGGCTCAAGAAGGCGCTGGTGGGAGTCACGATTGACACGTGGTTGGAGCCTAGCCACTCCTTGGTGGACAAGGCCGTTGGCTTTGCGGAGGAGGGGTGTCTGGGACCCTTGGAGCTTTCCCGCTGCACGTCGCGGGAGGCGGAAATGAGGTCAGAAAAACGTGACCCGGAAACTTTCCGCTTGGAAAAGCTGAACATCAAGGTCACGAAGCCCCCCACGACCTTGACAGCTGAGACGTCCAGTGACCTACATGTTCGGACTTGTATGCAGCGTCGTGCTCTGGCATTCCACATGGCCGGCATTGCTACGTTCGTGGTGCTCGATAAGATCATCTCTCGCTTCTTCGGCTACATGATGCGCCCAGTGTACCCAGGACAGCAGCCGGTGACCCTGAGCCAGGTCGTGGACGCCGACAGAACGCTTTGGGTCTTGGTTGCGCAAGAGACTCGGGGCAAGGTCCTGACGTCCGGGACTCCATTGCCGATTGATGCCGCTGTGGACGCCTTCAAGGACGCTCCAGACGTTGCTTTTGCCTTGATGCCCCGCACCAAGGGGTCAGTGCCTCCGCCTCCGAAGCCGTCTCCGACTGCTGGAGCTGAGGCGATGAGCCGTGCCAAGCGCCGCAGGCTTCAGAAGGCGGCCAAGTCCAAGCCGATCGCGAATTCAGCGCAGCCCGGCAAGCCGTCGGCAGGAAGTTCGAAGGGGGGCGGCAAGGGCATTGATATACCACCGGGGGCGAAGACTCGCGATGACCAAGGCAGGCCAATCTGCTTCCGTTACAATCGCAAGGCTTGTGACCAATCCAAAGAGAAGTGCCAGCGCGGCTATCACGTGTGTTGGTTCTGCCTAAAGAACCACGCAGGGGTGGACCACAAGGAGTGACTAGGAGCACAAGCCGTGCCTGGCCCCTCCGGCACCCAGGCCATAGCTTTTGGACCGGAAAAGTTTTCCGCAGTGGGGCATTCTCCCACCGACCTTCACTGCGCCGAAGTTCTTGCAAGTTCTTTCAGCTCTCCGCCTACGGCGAAGCAGCTCCTTTCACTTTTGGATGTGCTGCCACCTGAAGTACCTGCCCGCGGACGACCGGGCGATTTCTCGTGGACCACGGGATCGTGGTCGAAAGATGGTTGCTACGGCCTTCGCCGCCACAGCCACATGTTTCCGACGGTTACCTCTGCCCTGACGGCGTATGTCCGAAGCATTGCTCCCGAGCATACCTTTACAGCGGTGGCACTTTTTGCAGATCTCCAAACAGCGCCCCATCGTGATGTGAACAATGCCGTGGGGGCTCCTAACCTCTTGCAGCCGCTTACTGAGTTCCAGGAGGGTCAGGTCTGGCAATATCACGAAACGGGGCCTTCCTGGCAATGGGTCGAAGGTCGCCATCTTCCCGGCATGCTTTTGGATGTTTCCAGAGGCCCTTGTTATTTGGACTCCCAGGCCTTGCACTTCACACTTCCGTGGCGAGGAAAAAGAGTTCTCGTGGTGGCTTTCACGCCTCGCTGCGACGACCAAAACTTCAACTTCGCACAGCTTTTGGCGCTAGGCCCGTCCCCGCCTCAACCTTTACGACAACATCTCGAGCTCTTGGGCTTCAAAGTCCAGTTGCCACCGTGTGACCTACATGCAGTCAGCTTCTCCTGCGAAGCTTCCGAGGCCTTAGCAGTCGAGGCCTTTTGTGGTCGTGGGCGCTTGTCCGTGGCACTTCGTGATCAAGGCCTCAGTGTTCTTCCAGTTGATCACCGCGTTCGCTGCACTGATCTACAAGTTCTTCGCCTTGACCTTCAGGATGATCATGATGCTTCCATCTTCTTGGAGATGCTCTCCACGGCTAATGTTTGCTTGGCTCACTTCGGGCCGCCTTGCGGCACCTCAAGCAAGGCCCGCGAGCTGCCGTTGCCTCCGGAGCTTTCGCATCTGCAGTCTTCCCCGCTGCGATCCTTGGCATCCCCCTTTGGTCTGGATGGACTTCGGCCGTCGCAAGCAGCTCGCGTCCATTCGGCCAACAAGCATCCATCATGCGTGCGTGAATGGGTTTTATTTTCCGCCGAAAGTGTAGACAAAGTTTGTCGAAAAAGGAAAACAGTGTTTTCACTTGTGTGTGAGTGACACTAGACAAACTTTGCCGTGCAGCTTTCGGCTTGGAGTTGGATCTGTGATCCAAAAAGTTTTTGTAGATTAGCTTGTAGTGCTCCGCAGCAGTGGGGGTCGTCAGCGACGTCCTTCCACTCCCCTTTTTATAACTGTCAGTGGCAGTTATGGTTGACCAAGCAGCCCGCAATTACGCGGCTGAGTCGCCAGAGGCGCCGTACCCTAGAAGGGACGGTCGAGAGAATCAGCTGGCAGCGCCACAATGTTTGCAACGCGTGCGACAGTGTCGCTCCTGCCTCCGTTTTTTGCAGTGCAATCCAATTTTCGTGTTAGAGCAGGCCATGCGTGAGGAGATGGCACAACAGGAGATAAGTTATCTCCTTTGGGCCATTAGCTGTGCCATGCGGGTAGACCCCGCAGTCGTCAGCGACGACCACGAAGCTTTGAACCGCGCAGGGGAAGGGGAGTCCAAAGTTTGGCCTCCCTTTTACCCTTTCGCGCAGATGCAAGGGGAACAACCGGACACATCAGGCAGTGCCTATCCGATGCACCGGTATACCATGTCGCAGCGCGACGTGCCTATGCGGCCAGCGGCCACACCTGGCTGGCCGTATACTGGCCTTTTTGACTGGCCCCCCAGTGGGGAGGAGGATAATGTGCCCAAACTCCAGTGGAGACTTAATTGGGTGGACGCCCTAGAGGGCCACGTGGCCACCAAGGTGGAAGCCAGCGGCTTCCATTGGCACCCAGAGGGTAAGGGCAAAGGCAAGGGCGGTTGGATTAAGATAATCCCTTCCGAAAAGAAAAAGAAGAAGTCTCACAAAGTTGCCAGCGGCAGCACCGACCCCACCGCCTCGTCCAGTACTGCTCTGCCGACAGCGTCGGCATCGGCCTCGGACCCTCCCTTACCGCCGCCAGCGGCCGCTCCTGCTAAGCCCGCTGCGGCCACAACAGGCAGCCCGCCCGCAGCCGCAGCTGCCGACGTCGCTCCGCCAGAGGCGGAGCCTGTCATTGAAGTTGTCGATACTGACAGTGATCAGAACTCGGGAGACTCCGAGGTATCCCTGGCTAGCAGCCAGGCCGCAACGGCAGTGCCGTTCGCGCCCAACGCGAACACTGTGGTCGTGTCCCGACCGCAGCGTCGCAATCGCCAGCGGGGCTGGCAGTTCCAGCCCGGGGAGGACCCCCAAAATAACGATTGGCGCAACCTGGGGTCAGCGACCGACAACAGGTACCCTGGCCTCCGTGCGTTAGTGACGCACGCCAGGAGGGTTTCTCCGCAGTTGCACGTCACAGACGTGCACGAATGGCCCTATTGGGCACAACCCAACTCAGAGAGATGGGATAGGTACCCGGAGAGGCGAGGCGACCTCATGTGCTGTCTGCCCTGCGCGCAGCAGGGCTGCATTTCCCAAGGTATGGCAATTTGTGGGCGGCACTGCTCAGTGGGCAGGAGCCCCCACAATCATCACGAGTGCGACAACTGCTACCGCAGCAGCCGGGGTCAGCGACCCCGAAACCACGGCGCCCGTGGCGGTCGCCGCTAGGCCCTGAGCGCAGCGCGCAGCTGCTAGCTTCTCAGTGAGTCGCCCTAGTCACTTCTGGTGCAGTGCACCTCTTTTTGCTTCGCCGCCGACAGTTCGGCAGCTTCTGCAGGGCGGGCGTCTCCGAGGTTTTTGGAACCTCGCCCACAGCGGCGAGCCGACGGCATAATTTGAAATGCGGCAAAAGCTTGCTGCTCGCCTTTTTCGGTCGTGTGTCACGCGAGCCTGGTAGGTCTCTCCAGCTGAGTCAGCTCTTTGAACCGTGTCGGTTTTCAAGCAGTGCTTTTCTTCCGCAGCCTTTTCAGCTTAGTAAGTCGCCCCCTTCGTGCCTTCAGCTAACAGCCTTTGTATGCTATCAGCGATGGCGAACCCAACGAACGAGCAGATGCTGCAGGCGCTCAGTGCAGTGCCGGAGGCCCAGAGGGCCGCCATCTACGAAGCCGCCGTCTCCCTATCAGAGATAGGGGACGTGGTGGTAAATGCGGCGGAGGCAGCGGAACTCGCCGGCTGGACCAAGCCCGCCAGTGGCGGCTCAGAGGCCAATGCCGTCGCCCTTCAGCGACTTCTTTTGGGCTACGAGCCCCCAGTGGTTCCTGCGAACACCGAGCCGCCAGCGGCGGCCCGTGGTGTGTCTTCCGAAGACCACCGCAGCGCGGTGGCAAACGCGTCTCCCACGTCGGCCGCAGCGCCGGCCTCGCAGCGCCGCTCCCCGACCAGCCCCGCTGAGGAAGCGGGCTCGGGCGTCAAGGAAGAACCGCTTCCAGCGGAAGCTCCCTCGGCAGCGCCGGAGGATATGGATGTGGAGGAGCCCAGCGGGCGGCGGGATGAAACCGAAGACGACCAAGGCTCCCGCTCGGAAGAGTCGGAGTCGGAGAGCGACTCCCCGCCACCGCCAGCGCAGCCGCACCCTCCCCTTCAGGGCAAGGTGGCGCGCAAATCCTCCAGCCCGGCAGTGCCGGCAGCTGACAGGGATCAGGCGCCAGCGGCGCCCCCGAAGGCCTCCGCCCCACGCCAGAACAAGCGGCCTCCCCCGCCGCCAGTGGCGCGTCGTGGGGAGAGCTCTCGCCCGCGTCCCTGTCAGCAGCCCCCGCGCAACAACCCAGCTGGCGTCGCTGGGACCCGGGCCAGCGGCCCGGCGTCAGATGACACCGCTGATCGAGACGATCAGGAAGCTCGCCCGCCAGCGGCGGAGCGTCCCCGAGCGGGGGAGATTCAGCGAGTCTTCGCATGTTCAGTCTGCGACAACATGCAGATGAACATTTGGAGCGATCCGTCTTCGGAATTCGTATGCAGTGCATGCGGAGAGCTCCACCCCTTCGTGGCTGCAGTGCATGCCTACGATCAGCCTAGCGCCAGTGGCGCTGTGGGACAGTTTTCCCACGAGCGTCGCAGCAAGGCCTGGCAGTGTCCAGAGTGCGGCGTGATGCATTGCACACGCTGCGCGAAAAATTACTCTTGCCCAGGCACTGTCCCGCGGACAGACGGCAAGCTCGAGTACCGTGGCGAGCGCCGCCCTACTAGGGGGCCGCCCGAGTCCCTTCGGCTGACCTTGCAGCGCGAGGCAGCCGAAGCCCGTGAGCGCGAGCACCGCGAACGGGAGTCCCGCCGCAGAGACGGCAAGGGCAAAGGCAAAGGCAAGGACCAGAGGTCCCGCCGTGACGACGAGGACCGGGACCAGTGGTCCCGTGGTCGCTGGTCTTGGGACCACGACCGACGCTGGAACCATCGCGAGTGGTAGATACGCCAGCGGCGTAATCCAGCGCATTCCGAACAGTGTTCGGATAAATTTTTTGACGGGCCAGTGGCCCTTCCGTCTGCGCCCTTTCTCACACAGGTGCAGAGCACAGCAGTGCCGGCACAGTCCGGCCACAAGAGCCTTCGCTGCTCACCGGCCTGTCTGCGGATCGCAGAAGGCAGGTGCAGCGCACCTCGACAACCGGGCTCCGCCCAGAGACTCGCATCGCGAGGTTGGTAAAAAGAATACCGCAGGTTGCGTGTGCACACAGACCTTGTAGGACTGAAGCTTCTCTTGCCTAGTAGGCTCTTCTTGCCTAGTAGGTTTGTGCGCAGTGCCCCGAGACCTGGTAGGTCCTCTGAGGTAACTCTAAGTGCAGTGTCACCATCTGAGTCTGCGCTCTTAAATGCGTTTTTACCGCAGCCTTTTAAGCCTCACTCTTCTCAGCTCTCTTTTTTTCCTCCTCTCCTCCCTCAGGACTGAATGGGGAGGGTGCGGGTCGCAGCGCGTCGCTTGAATCGAGCTTTCCAGAGTGAGTGCACTTGTGTTCGTGTGCTGGTAGCCTTTTCTTGAAAGCCGCCTGGACAACAGCCGCTGGCTTGAGCAGTGCTCCCCTTCCTTGTGTCAAGGATGCTGCCCAGGGGCAGCGCCCCAGAGGGCGACTTCAACGACCAGGTTAGTAACCTTTGGTCGTCTATACCACGCCGAGCCGGTGCTCGTCAGCCGTGGGAATCAGCTTCATGGTTTGCGCGCAATGCAAGCTGGCCCTGGGAGCTGTCAGTGACTCGCCCCGCCTCCGTGGGCCCCGTGCCAGTGCTGCACGAGTCAAGCCTGATGCTTAAGCGGAAAGCTTCCGCTAGCACCCAGCCGCTAGTAGCGGAAGACACAGCCTTTGCACTTAAGGTGTGCTGCCGTCGTACAGCGTACGAAGGCGACCGCCGCGAAAGCGCGGTTTTCAAACTGACGGCTTTGGTAAAAGCCTGGCCAGAGGCCTTCGAGATCGTCTCACAGTGTGCTGACGAAGCCGGTTGCGTCGACCTGGACGAGCTCGACTTCAGCATAGAAGCAGCGCTCAGCTACAAAGCCACCAACACAGTGGTTCGTCGTCTGAACTCCCTCAGCAATTTTGTCCAGTGGGCAAACTGCCAAGACCCAGTGGTGGTGCCCTTCCCAGTATCAGAGCGCGCCACCTGGCGATACATCCAGTGGATGATGAGGAATGGGAAAGGGGCTAGCAGCCCCTCTAGCCTGATTCAGAGTCTGAACTGGTGCTCGGGAGTTTTCGGTCTTTCCTTCGAGTCGGAGGTGACCAGCTCCCGTATCGTGGGCCTTTGTAAGAGCACGGAAGCCAGCGCGCCTCCGCCCAAACGGGCCCCCGCCCTTAAGGCCTCGGAGGTGGCTACTCTTGAGCGCATCGCGCTGTCTGGCTCTGTGTACGACAGTGTCGTGTCTGGGGGCTTGTTGTTCATGCTCTTCGCATGCGCCCGTGCCAGTGACGCGGCCCGAGTTGCCTCCTTTTCGGTTGAGCTCCCAGAGGACCCCTGCGCCACAGTGTGGATGCAGGCGAATGTTCACAAGGCGAAAACAGCCGTAGGGGCTAGAAGCCGCCTGCTGCTCCCGCTGGTAGCCCCGGTAGTTTTCTTCGAAGAGTCTTGGGTGAGTCAGTGGCTCGCAAATCGAGAAAAGTTGGGCCTCAGCTCCAGTGGAGACATCCCGCTCGGGTCAGTGATCCCTGCTTTCACATCGGATGGTGATCTAGCGGATCGCCCGATGAACTCTCAAGAGATTACCTCCTGGCTGCGCAGCGCGCTGTCCAACGCCGGCTGCGAAGACGCAGAGCGCCTTAGCAGTCACAGTCTCAAAGCGACTTGCCTCACGTGGGCCTCGCAAGCTGGCGTCAACCTGGATCTGCGCAGGCTCCTCGCCCACCATGTGCACGACAGTGCTCGGAGCACTGAGACGTACAGCCGTAACGTGCTCATCCCCGCAGCGCGGGCTCTGGAGGAAGTTCTTATTGCCATCAGAGATGGCGACTTCCTTCCTGACCAGCCGCTCGGGAAACAATTCGCGCTGCCAAGCAGCCAGCTCAACCTGAGGCGAGAGAACCTTAGCAAGGTTTCTCACCGGAAAACCTCCTCTGGCTCGGCACCCCCAGTGGGGGTGGAAGCCCTGAAGGTTTCGCAGCAGCAGGAGCTCAGCGACACAGAGGACAGTGCCAGTGACACTGACAGAGAAGACGAGTTCGTCGCCGAGCCCGAGGTAGAGGAGCACCCTCGCCTCAGGAGGGAGGTGCAGTGCACTCTCCCGGACTGGGCCGTTTCGTGGTGTCATCTTGCCAGTGGCAAGCTCCACGCGAGTCGCGGCGAGAATGCCAAGAGGCTTCTCTGTGGTCGCTGTTTGAATGAAAAGTATAAGAGTTGCGAAGTTCGCGACCTGGCCCCGGGCCGGCCGCACTGCAAGACGTGCTGGAGCAGCAAGTCTTTCGATGCAGAGTGAAAAGAGAGCGAGTTCTTGCGCCTGTCTGTCCTAGTAGGGTCCCGCAGTCGGCACAGTGTGTGTGTCTCTCTCTCTCTGTTTTCTTCTCTTGCCCTGCAGGACAATGGCAAACCTCGTCGACAGCGTCGCGGAATTCTCCAGCAGAGCTGGACAGCTCCTAGGAGCCGCCGAGTCGGCGAAGCTCCTTGCGGCAGACATCCGCACCTTCGGCACGCTCGCTTACAGCGTCGCCGACCAACCCGATCGCATCAGCGATGCGAAGTTTGAAGAACTCATCAAGAAGGTCTTCGGGGCGGCAGAGCCGACCTTAGGCACCAAGGCCGCAGCGCGGCGCCTGGCCTTCGAAAGCCTCACCTTCAGTATCCAGGATCTGAAGATGAGGGTCGAGGGTGACAGCGTCACCCCAAAGAGCCTGCCCCTGCACGAGCGCGAGGAGCGTCGAGCCGCGCAAGTTGCGCGCCTCAAGGGCGTCGTCATCGAAGGTGACTACGACCCCGCGAACAGCCTCGTGGACAAGGCCGCGCTCATGCTGCAGGACGGCATCGTCCGTTACATCCCGCCGTCGCAGTGCGTCAGCCGGGATGCAGAGATCGCCTCAGTGAGGCGTGACAAGGACTTCCTCTCCCTAGAGTCTGGGGAGATCACGGTAAAGAAAAAGGAGCACAGCGTGCACGTGGAGATCGGCAATGAGCTAAAGCTCACGCAGGCGCTGACGCGCCGAGGTCTCGCGCTCGACAGAGTCGGCGTGTTGGATTTCACAATTCACGAGAGACTCGTGAGACAGTTTTTCTCCGTCCTGAACCGGCCAGCGCCGCCGGGGATGGAACGCGGCAACAGCTGGCACGTAGTACGGGCCGACAAAGAACTGTGGACGCTGCTCGCGCGAGAGTGTCGCAAAGGGTGCAAGCCGGACAAGGATGGTAAGAGGCCACTAGATTCTCTAGTAGAGAACATGTGGTCCGATCCGATTGTTACGCTTCACCTGCTCCCCTCGCCAGTGGCGGACAGGGGTCGCAAGGGCAAAGGCCGCAGCTCGGCGCGCAGCGAAGAAGACCGCAGTCGTAGCACGACCGGCAAAGGTAAGAAAGGCGGCAAGAAAGGCCGCGGAAAGGGCAAGGGCAAGCGCCATGAGAGCGCAGACCGCGCCAGGCCGCCGAGCATGCCTAAAGAGCTTCGCCACTTGAACAGTGTTTCAAAGTCCGGCAAGCGCCTCTGCTACGGCTTCAACCTGCAGTGCGGGTGCGACCTCGAGACCTCCGGCTCCCCCAAGCAGTGCGACAGGGGGTTGCACCAGTGCATGAGCTGCGGCAGCACCGACCACGGAGCCGCAGATTGCCCAAAGAATGCTGGGGCCGCCTGACTAGGCACCCTTGCACCAACCGCGGCAGAGCCGCAACAGCCCTCAGAGACAGGGCCTGCAGCTCTTATCCCAGCAGCGCTGGGTTCTTCCGCCATTGCTCCTCCTTCAGGGCAGAGCCCTGACCCTTTGGCCTCGGCACCGCCTCTGCACCCGCCTGCAACAAGTAAGCCAGGACGTGCCACCGCTGCGCCGTCTCACGACGCCGCGCCCGCGCTTAACGCCGAGCCCCCAGTGCTCCTCTTGTCCGAACAGCACAGCGTGCTGGCAGACAACGCTCGGAGCGTTACTCTTCCCGAGCCGGCTTCGCAAGCGACCCCTCGGCCTCCGCTTTTTGTGGAAGTTTTCTGCGGCCTCGGTCGCCTTAGTAAGGCAGCCATCGAGAAAGGTTTCTCGAATATCGCCGTGGATCACAGGACCAAGGCCAGAGGCCTCAAGGTCCTTCAGCTCGACCTTTGCACCCAGTTGGGTCGCAACTTGCTGAGAGCAGTGCTCTCACACCAAGATTTGAGATGGGTCCACTGGGCCCCCCCGTGCGGCACCTTTAGCAGGGCTAGAGAGATTCCCAGGCCAGGAGCTCCAGGCCCCTTGCGCAGCGAAGCGCGCCCAGCGGGCCTTAAAGGCCTCAAAGGAGCCGACGCAGCGCGAGTTCGCAGCGCGAACAGCCTAGTCGCTTTTATGGCACAGTGTTGCCACTCCCTGTCTCAGCGCGGCGTTTGCTGGTCCATAGAAAATCCAGCTCGTAGCCTCCTGTGGAGGATGCCCTGCCTCAGAGAGGCCTTGCAGTCAGCTCACAGAGTAGAGTTTGACTCGTGCATGTTCGGCAGCATGCGCCGCAAACGTACCGCAATCCTCTCCAACTTGGATTGGTTCGCAGGTCTGAGCAGAGACTGCGACGGAGGCCACAAACACCTGCCGTGGGGCAGAGCCTCAGTGGATGGTTCCACAGTGTGGTCCACATCCCTAGAAAGCGCCTACACCACTCAGTTGAGTTCCGTCTGGGTTTCCCTCGCGGCCGACCAATGCGCAGCAGCACTGCGGGCAGCGCCTCTCAGTCGCAAGCGACTGCGTCGTCTACGCTACGAGCCAGACTTCAGTGACAAAGTCACTCTCCAAGGCCCCGCAGGGCGGTGCTTTCGAGGCTGGAAGACTCCGCAGAAGCTTCCACAGTCGTGGACTTGCTTCCCAAAAGGCTCAAGGCTCATCCAGTGGATTGAGGCCTCCCAGAAAGCCATCATCGCCATCCCGCTGCAGCCTCTACACTGGGTGCGCAGAGCGCACCTGATCGATCACCCAGCCAGGGACATCGAGGCAGTGCCTCTATCCCTTAAGCGAGCCATTGCCGCCGAAGTACACGAGGACACTGTCCTGCTGGCCAAGCGCCGCACGGTGGCATCCATGCATATCTCCCGAACTTGCACAGAGTGCCAAGTCCGCGAGACCGAGGTACGTTCGTCGATTGACGCTCAGGTGAACAGCGTCACCAAGCCCAAGCAGACAGTGGCTTTAGCAAAGCTTCTGAACGAAATCGACTTTCCGGACAAGACTTTGGCCCAGCAGGTGCGAGAAGGCTTTCCCCTGCTTGGCTGGATACAACCCAGTGGGTTGTGGCCAGTGCAGATTCTGCCACCTTCTCTAGACGAGAAGTCACTACTGGAAAACGCCCAAAGCATCAGCATGCGAGGCGTTCGCAGCGCTCTGCGCCCCTCGCAAGACGGGATCTCGGACAGGGTCTGGGAAAGCACTATGGAGGAAGGCCAGCAGGGCTGGCTCTCTCTGGAAGACTTCTCGCCAGGGCAGCTGCATGAGACGATAGTATCGTCCCGTTTCGGCGTCGTTCAGAAGGGCAAAGTGCGCCCCATCGATAACTTTAAAAGCAGCTTCATTAACAGCTGCTGTGGGACCACAGAGAAAGTCCAAGTCGATAGCATCGACGAGCTTCTTGCAGTGTGCCTGGAGTGGCTTCGCCAAGGTGTTCCCGCAGAGCGGGCCCACCGCATTGTAGGCAGGACCTGGGACCTTAAGAGTGCCTACAAGCAGCTTGCAGTGCAGGCCGCACACAAGAAATTCGCGTGCATCGTCATGCTGGACCCACAGAGTGGGAAGGTCAAAATCGCCCACCTGCATAGCATGCCTTTCGGCGCCGTTGCCGCCGTGCACGCTTTCCTCCGCTGCAGCGAAGCGCTCAAAGCCATCGGCCGCGAAAAGCTTGCCTTAGTCATGACAAGCTTCTTCGACGACTTCACCGTCCTTACGCGCAGCGCGCATTCAAAGCTCGTCACGTTGGCAGTGTCCAACCTTTTTCACAAGCTGGGTTGGCAAGTGGCCACAGAGCCCAAGAAGAACGCAGACTTCAGCGAAGTCTTTGACGTGCTAGGCGTGCGAGTGGACCTGTCCAAGCAGCACCTCGGGGAAATCTCAGTGAGCAACAAGCCAACCCGCGCAGCAGAGCTGGGGCTGGTCCTCAGCGAGGCCCTCGCCCGCGGAAGCATGTCCCCTTTGGAAGCGCAGAGCCTGCGCGGCAGGCTCATTTTCGCTGAGCAGCAAGCCTGGGGTCGTAACACTCGCATGGCAGTGATCTGCGTAGGCGACGTTCTTGGGGATGGACCAGAGCAAGTCCCCCTAACAGAGCAGCAATGCCAAGCCATGGCCTTTCTGCTGCAGAGAGTCGTGCACGGACCGCCCAGGACAGTGTCCATCCATGCACGCCGCAAAGTGCACCTTTACATCGACGGGGCCTGCGAGTGGGAGACCCCAAGACTCGTGCCCAAGTGTGGCCTCGGAGCAGTGCTCATCGGAGAAGGCGTCGCCTTCACCTGGGGGCTGCAGATCAGCAGCCAAGTCACAGCCCAGTGGGCCGCCAGAGCTCAGAAGCAGCAGCTCGTCTACGAGTGCGAGCTGCTGCCCTACTTGCTCAGCCTGCAAATGTGGGCTAAGCACATTGCAGGCAGCGACCTGTTCGTCTGGATAGACAACGACGCAGCGCGTACCTCCCTGCACAAGGCCTTCACACGCAAGGTGGAAGGAGCTGCGATAGTCTCGCAGGCGGTGGACTTCGAAGAATCCCTGCAGTGCAGGGCCGCTTTCTTTCGAGTCCCCACAGACAGCAATATAGCTGATGGCCCCAGCAGAGACTGGTGGGAGGAGACACAACGGCTTGGCGCAGAGCGCCAATTTTTGCCGCCCAACGCAGTGTCGTTGGCTTTGTCACTCGGCGCGGACTAGATGGGGGGTGAGTAAGGCTTCGAGTGCCTTCAAGGGGGGTGAACCAGTCGTTCGCCTTACCACCGACCAGCGGTCGAGTTTCGGTTTGAAATGCCAGTGGCATCGTTTCGACATAGCCCGAAGATCGGGCCCGAACCGACCCCCCATGTCCGCTAGGAGAAAAAAGAGAGTGCTTTGCACAGGGTCCTTTCTGCAGCGCAGTTAGGGTTTCCCAAACGCGCGCTAACGGAAGTTTCGTTGGAAAATAAGCATCCATCATGCGTGCGTGAATGGGTTTTATTTTCCGCCGAAAGTGTAGACAAAGTTTGTCGAAAAAGGAAAACAGTGTTTTCACTTGTGTGTGAGTGACACTAGACAAACTTTGCCGTGCAGCTTTCGGCTTGGAGTTGGATCTGTGATCCAAAAAGTTTTTGTCCCACCCACCACACCCTGTATAGTATGCGGGGTCCGGGACACCGCTTTGGCAGCAGAGCTGCCAGGAGCAGCGCTCCTATGCTCTCTCCCGCGGAGAGTTTTCAGCACAGAGTGCGCTTTTGTATATAGGCCGTAGGCCGTGCAAATGCAGAGTAGCACCTAGTAGCTGCAGTGACCCAGTAGGTCCTAGCATGTTTCACTTTATCTCCCCGTGGTACGGGTTGTCCCCTAGTAGGGGGGGTGAACCAGTCGTTCGCCTTACCACCGACCAGCGGTCGAGTTTCGGTTTGAAATGCCAGTGGCATCGTTTCGACATAGCCCGAAGATCGGGCCCGAACCGACCCCCCATGTCCGCTAGGAGAAAAAAGAGAGTGCTTTGCACAGGGTCCTTTCTGCAGCGCAGTTAGGGTTTCCCAAACGCGCGCTAACGGAAGTTTCGTTGGAAAATAAGCTCTATGTGCTCACCTTGGTCTCGATTTGGATCCTGCATGTGCGCGGCGCACTGGTCAGCTGCGAGAATCCTTCGTCTTCTTTGTTCTGGCGGGTGGCCGATCTCCTGGCACAAGATCTGCCGGACCCCGCGGCTTGGCAGGTGTTGGAGGATGTTGCGTTCCATGCTTGCATGTGGGGCTCCACTCGCAATAAGCGTACCACCTTTCGCGCAACCCCGGGCCTCTGCAGCGGCTTGCGGCGCGATTGCGATGGTTCTCATGAACATTTGTCGTGGACACCGACTGCAACACCTTCCGGTGTTGTCTTCCCTACATCAGGCGAAGCCGAGTACACCAAGGAGCTGGCGGCTGCGTATGCCGCCTTTTCTCTCCGTGCTCTTCAACTTCGAGGACTCCGCACAGAACGCTCTCATGTGGGCCCCGGAGTCCTTCGGCCTCGGGATCTGCGTTCCTTCACTCGTAAGAGGGTGCCACCGCTTCTTGCAGAGTATTGGCTTGTGGCTCCCCGCGACTGCGTACCACCAGAATGGCCTCAACGGCCCCTCCCAAAGCATGTCCTTTTTCCGAAAACGGGGGACGAGGTCATCACAGTATCTTCGGTCGCTGAAGTTCGGGCTTTGGAAGCGACTAATGCTGTCAAACCGTCAACATTGGTGGCTCTTAAGGCATTGGCGGCGACTGGCGCCGAACCAATGGTTGGGGTGCTTCGACGACCCCAACAAACCGTGCTGGCTACCAGGTGCTTGTCCCACCCGCTTGAGCTGAATCTTCCTTTGCCGGACATCCTTGTGAAGGCCGTCGTGAACGTCCTCAGAGTAGGACCTCGGGGCATTGCTTTTCATCGCGCTACGGTCTTGCAGAAGCTGCTGGTCAGGGCGGAGGCGCTCAAAGATCGTGAACGCGAGCTTCATTGTGGCTTGCATCCGGGTCTTCGTAAAGTTCTTGCGGGGAAAAACACCATATTGTGGGAGCAGCTTCTGAGGGAGTCTCACTTTCCCGATCTGGGCCTTGTCGATGAGGTAAGGGGAGGCTTTGAACTCGTGGGTCCGGCGAACTGCTCTGGAGCCTTCCCCATGGCTTACAAGCCGCCGCAGCAGTCAGTGGAGAAGCTCATGCAGCAAGCCGTGTGGCGCCGGAAGAACACCATCTCCAAGTGCAAGCCGACTGGCGATACGGCTGCAGACGACGAGCTGTGGTCGCAAACTCTTGGTGAGGTCGAGCAGGGCTGGATCGATGGTCCCTATTGGGCTGAGAGCGAAGTCAGTGAGAGGCTCGGCAGCGCCGAGTGGATGTGCACCAGGAGATTCCCCATCGTCCAGGGGCCGAAGGTTCGCATCATAGATGACTGCCTTCAGAGCGGTCTGAACTTGGCTTATGCGGCATACAACAAGCTCAGGTTGATGGACGCTGATGCGTTTATCTCCCTGGTTCTCTTGCTTATCCGATGCTCGCACCAGCCCGGCAGCATGATTCAGCTCGATTCAGGGGAACAACTTGTTGTGAAGAGACACCCCGAATGGGGCGATGGCCTGGATCTTCTCGGCAAGACTTTGGATCTCTCCGCAGCTTACAAACAACTGGGCTGCCGGCCCGATACAAAGTTTAATCGAGTGTTAGTCGCTTGGAGTCCAGAACGCCGTGCGCCGGCGTTCTTTGTGTCTACTGCCCTGATGTTTGGAGCGTCATCGGCAGTCTTTTCCTTTAACCGCTGCTCGGCATCCCTGTGGCACCTGGCAGTGACGATGGGTTCAGTCTGCTGCACTGTGTACTTCGATGACTTTCCTTGTGCGGAACCTCGTCGGGCTCAGCGCAGGACTTCATGGTGGGGCTTCTGTCCACTTGCTTGGGGTGGAACGTCGCTCTGCAACCTAAGAAAAACCAGCCTTTCTCTCAGACCTTCACCTTGCTGGGCATTGAGCTATCATTGAAGACGGCGGACCAGGGCATCCTGAAGGTGCGCAACAAGCCGGACCGCGTCTTGGAGCTGCGTGCTGAACTTGACCGGCTTTTGTCACAGGGCTACATGAAGAGGTCTGAGGCGTCTTCCTTGCATGGACGCTTGAACTTCGCTCAGGGACAGCTTCACGGTTGTCCCATCAAGCCGGCGCTCAAGTTCTTGTCGCAGGTGGCGGCCAACGGCTGGGATGATGCCCTGGCCGACGATTTCAAACTTGTGATTGGCTACATCGCAGCTTGCTTCGCTACGGACTCCCCGAGGGTGATACATGCTCTTGATTCGCGGTATGCCATCAAGCTCTTTACAGATGGCGCATGGGACAACAGAATCGCTGGTGCGGGGGCTGTTCTCCAGTACGCCTTGGACCAGGGACCGAAAGTGGCGGAGGTGGTCGTTCCAGAATGCCTTATCGAGCACTGGGGCAGGCATGGCGGCACTCAGCTCATCTCGCAGCTGGAGCTTTTTCCCGTGTTGGTGTCACTGGTCAGCTGGGGCCCCCAGTTGGCAGGCAGGCGCATCCTGGCTTTCATCGACAACAACGGCGTGCGCGACTCCTTGATCAAGGGCTCTTCTCCGCTTCCTGACCACTTCGTCATGCTTTCGATGATTGCCTGGGTGGCTCGGCGGTATCACTTCACGCTGTGGTTCACTCGTGTGGCATCAGAATCTAACCCTGCAGACAAGCCGTCTAGATCGCAAGCGCGGGAGGCTGCTGAGGAGCTCGGTGGATCCCTTGAGCTTCCCTTGACCTTGGACGACGTTCTTGTGAAAGGATTGCTTAGCAAGCGGTCCTTCATGGATATGTGCCAGGGGTCAATGCCGTTCGGTGATGGGGAAAATGTGGGAGAGAGACTGTGGCAGTGATCGGTATGCCTTCGTGCGACCATCATGTACCGCCTTCGTGCGGGTGTGTGTGCATTCGCTACCTTTGGTCTCTTGTGATTCCCGTCGCGTGGCATTCGAAGTTGGGCAGCAGCATCATCCCCTTTTTGCGATCAAAATGAAGACGGTCCGAGTGATTGAGGCAATTTGATATGCTTTGAAAATATTCGATGTCCCATATATCAATTGGGAAATACTGACTTGATTGCGAAGTAGATTGGACCACGACCTTCGCGATGCATCTATGTGCAAGTGCATCATGGTGTATGTTGTGTTGGTGTTGGGGTTCAAGAGTAAGCCAACAAGACGGATAACCTCAACTTGTTGACGGTCCTGTCTTGTTTCGGCTTACCTCCTTGAACCCCCCCCCTCTGTGTGTGTGTGTGTGTGTGTGTGTGTGTGTGTGAACCTCCCTAGCACATGGGAGCAGAGGGTCACTCCTACACTGTTTGCAATTTTTGCTTTTCAACTCAATCAGACATTTGGCATTTACCGAATCAAATGTTGCAGGGGAGTGCGGCATGGCTGTGGGACCGCACTCAACGAAGCTACCACAGTCATGGGATACCGAGTCTGATCAACTCGGCGTACCTGCAAAACCTTGAGCTGGGGCCCCTGTGCCAGCCCGATTAGAAGGCCCCTGTGCCAAGATTAGAGAGTTTTCAGTTGCCACTTTTGGCGGTTGATTTGACAACAAACAAGCTGTACGGTTGCCACAATCTGACAAGCTTTTACAACATGAACAACATGCCTCTCTTTTTCCTCTTGCACTCGTACTCTTGGCCGAATCCATCAGTGTGATCAGCGTGGGTCTATGAGACTCCAGAGCAACGGCTTTCCGTCATGGCGCCGTGGTGACCCTCCGGGGAGACCGTTGATGAACCGGGTGTTCAGCCTTCGTTCAGATCGTTCAGATTCTCCAGATGCTACTTTATCTCTCTCTCTCTGATGCTCGCATGTGAGTCTGACATGAGCGCAGGCGCAGTAAGAGACGGCTAATGCAGTAATGTGCGTCTAGTGAGCAGGTGCTACCTCTCTAGTCTGCCCCGTATTTTACCGCTCCTTTATTACTCAGGGACTGCAAGGGCATGTGCATCTGACATGAGTGCAGACGTGGTAAAGATGTCTACAGCAAGTGAAGCAGCGCTCTCTCCGGAGAGTACTCGGCCCTCTTCCTTCCTTCTCTCCGTCTACGACCTCTCAAATCAGTCCAGCAGGGACAATCAGGACAGCCTGCACTTTGCTTGTGCAACTGTGTGTGTTTCACCCGCTTCGTTGCAGCTATGTGGCCGGATTATTTTGCCGCGCAGCCACCAGCAACACCATATGCACCAACAGCCCGACCGGTGCTTAATCAATTTCACCAGAACACCTGGGTACCGCAGTCTCAAAGCTACCCAGCAATGATGCCAACCGGCATTGCTGCCACTCAGCAGCCCACACTGCCGACACAACCCACTACGATTCCTCTTGAGCAAACACACGGCTTCCCCATGATGCCGTGTGGACACACCGCTCCTATTCCACAGCATCCGACGATCTACACACATCTCAGCACACCACAACCCCAGATGCCACAACAACCTCCACCCCAGCAATTCATGTCACAACACCCCACACCGTTCATGAACCCTGCTCTTTTGCCTACCCATCCAACAGCTTTTCCCATGAGCCCATCTGCTTCGGCACAGCATCAGGCCCAACCTACCACATTCAACTTTCCTTTTACACCACCTGCCCCACAACCCCAACTTGCACATTGCAACATCCCTCCCACACAACCCATTCAACAATCCCACATACCGCCGCCAACAACAATCCAACAAGCCCCACAACCCCACCCCACCAGTGTTCCCACTGCCGATGCTGCACACACTGCCCCGCAGACACCGGCAATGACACCCCAACAACAACAACCAACAAACACAGCCAACACCCCTTCCGTCAATACAGTGCCACCCGCACAACCACCCCCAGATACGGGATCGGCAGACACTGACCAGCTCGCAGCCCGTACTTCTCCCCATCACCCTCCGCTGCCACGCAGACGACGGCATTCACCCACACGCAGCAGAACTCGCACCGTGAGCACTAGACGCCGTCGACACACACGCAGCCGAGCACGACCTGCAAGCAGCGGCAGACAGCACCGCCGACGCAGACACCACCGATCCCGCGACACTCGCAGAAGCCGTTCTCGCAGGGACACCAGGCGAGCTTCATCGACACCTCCTCGGACCTCGGTTGTGCTCCGCAGCTATTCTACAGTGCGTGATGATGATGCCAACAAGTGGCATTACAGAGCCACACAGCCACGTCAAAGGCCACCTACCCCACCCAAGGTCCCACAAAAAACATTGGCTTCGCAGGTTCAGCGCATCGCCCTCCGCATCAAGGGCAGCCAAGCCGCACAACAGCAGCCCCCAACAAGCCAGGGCACATCCTCGCGCCAACAGCTTCGGCACAATCCCCCCAGCTCTGTTCGGACACCTGCTCCGACTTTCGATGCATCCACAACTGCTGCCCCATCGGGTCAGCCAACCCTCGAACAACTGGGCAAACAGAGCAGACCACCACAGATTGACGTGGCGCCTTTCTCTGAGCTTTATGATCATGAAAAGCCGACACCCCACGCTGTCGACATGGAGGAAGCGCACAAACTCGCCAAAACTTTGGGCGAGATAGCTGCTGACAGCGATTTCAGGCAGGAGACTTTAGCCGAATTCGCGCATGCCGTATTACAGTCGGGCACGCGCTCAGCGTGCAACGAATTGGGAGCAACGCTGACGCCAATATCGGACGGCGTGCATACTATGTTATTCATCCCGTGGGCTGGTGAGACTCGCAGAGCATTCGGCACTCGTGCCACTGACCCACCAGGGGAAACATACATCTACACCGCCGGACACGGCACGAGCATTGCAAGTGCCGCACGCATAATGCGTGAGGACTTGGTCCGCCCAAGTTCTGTCAGCCATTGCTTCGACGACAAGTCCTATCCACCCATTCCCTCTTGCGTCATATACGGGAATGCGACCCCAGGAGATGTGTCGGAAAGCACGGTACATATAGTTACCGATCAATGTACGCGGCGGCCCAAGGGCCAACAGGGAGTGATCGTCATCGGGACAATACGGACTAAGTATCAGCATTACAAGATGACGTATCGGGACATGTACAGAGAAGCCTTCATCGTGGGGCGAAAGGGTGTTGTGCGGACCCCGGAGAAGTGGGGATTCCACTCCGGGCACTTCAGCATCGTTGGATTCGGCCTCATTCAGTGATGTTGATTTCTTCTTCTGTGTCTTCCTGTAACTCTCTAGCACTTTTTCTTCCAGGCCTGAATCCCTGTACACATAGTTGTTTGCAATCAGGCATTTGCCCCGACCCCGCTTTTGAGCCAAAGAAGATTCGATGCAGCTGCATGCTGGATGCCTCGCACAAGTTGATGTTGACGCTCAAGCCAACCAGGTTGCTCATGCATGTTCCATGTGCAGCTTTTGCAGTCACAGGCAACTGTAGTGCCCCACTGTGCAACCATGTACAAGCCGACACAGCCTCAGTGGCATACAACAATGCCAACAGGCATCATCGGTACAGCAATCAGTACCGTGCAGCGACAAACAACCTCGACCAGCAGCACCCCATTGCACTCGATCTCCCCACCACCAGGGATCCACAACATCCCACCACACACCTCATCACCAATCCCGACTACTTGGGGTTCAGCTCACACTTACAGCCACAACAACACTTTCCCACCTTTCCCTCCACCCCCTCCCCCACCCCAACAGTTTCCCGGACCAATTCCACCCACCACACTGCCAACCCCCACACCTGCCACTCCCCAACACACATTTGTGAGTCCATCTCCGATGACGACTCGAAACCCCAGCATTTCGTCACATACATTACCTCAAGCCACCGTCGCAACCCAACAACAGCAACACCCCAATCCCACGCCTGCAAATCCCCAGATACCAAACGACTTTGTTCAAACACCAGAGCATTGGGACAACAGGCAGCTTTTTGGCCTCAACCTCCCCAAACACATTCAATCTACACCACATTCAGTGCATAACCGCACAGCAGGCATGCCAATCGCAACAGCACCATTGGTCGCATTTTTGCGACACAATTGGTCCTCGTACTGGCTACGGTACGCTGCACATGGCTTCGACATCCATCTCACATGCAGCAAACACGTCAGCGAAGCCGTCTTTACCACTGAACTTATGGGTCAACTCCGAGCAAGGAGAATTGATCTGGACCAAGCGGCCACTGCATTCTGCTGGCAAGAAAAGCTCACACTCGCAAAACGACCAGCAATGTCACACCTTATCAAGGAATTGGTGTTGTACCTGCAGGAGCTGCAGGACCAGTACAATGACGGCAACAAAAAGGACAAGCAAAATGTCAAAGCAGACACAGAAAACACACAATCGCAACCCACCGAATCTCCAACACCACCACAATCCAGCAAACCACAACCCCATCTCCCACTCCAACCTTCGCAGCCGACAGAGACTGACACTCTGGCGGCCCATCGCATCAGCGACCTTGAAGCACGACTTTCAACAGCACTGGAGACAATTGAAACTCTCCGTGCGCCGGAAGCACACAATGAGGCTCCCAGCACACCAGCATCAAAGAAACCAAAACGATCCACCACGCCCAGCACTCCCATCAACACGCCCTCCCCACCACCTCTCTCAATTTCCACAATTGAGATTTCTCCCACCACAACCACCCGTGGACAAAAACGGGCCACCATCGATGACCCTACACACACCAACATCAGGCCTACCACGGAGGGCCTATCCCCCTTCACCACAACCGCTGCAGAACAAGACAACAACCCGTTACATACTTCCCCAGCATCGTCATCCACCACAGGCATGCACTTCCCGGGACGCTCCACTCTGGGCGCCAAGCGACAGAAGCAGTCAACTCTTACACCAACGAAGGCGGCACCCCTCGAT